AAGAGCATCGCTGCCGGTCGAAAATCATTTGACCACTTGTGCTTTTTAGGCAACAAGTGATCTCTCACATATTGGTAAAAATTTCCGTCTGATGCTTCAATTAATGGAAGATAACTATGGAAACTACAAAAGACTGTAATGCATATTTTTATTTACCTTTCCACATTTCTAGTGAACATTAGACGGAAGAAAAGTTGTATAGTTTCTGCTCGTAGCCTCTACAATGACGGTTAATGGCTTAATGTTAAGCAACGAAAAGCTTACCCTCCTTACCACATTACGAATTAGGTGTACGCGACACAAAATGTGATGGGAATTGGGATACACCTGCATAATGGCAGCAGCTATTGCAGGTGAGTCATCTGTCACAATGCCTACCACCTCTCGATTGTTAGTTGATCGGCGGAAGAACGACAGGAATTGAGCAAGTAAACTAGATGTTTCGCAACTTATGAATGCAATACAAACAGGTATTGCCATGAAATTCATACCAAGTGCTACAACCTGATACAAATATAAATTTTCCTTATTGGTTTTGTAGGTCCCATCAAAACCAACAACATCAAAAAATCGAGTTGATATGTTCATTTGATCTGCTGTTGTGAAGAAGAAATACAACAGACAATTATCTCCATCTAAGTCGTATTCACAAAGGCCACCAAGCGACATGATGTGATCTTTCAATTTGGAGTAATCACCTAACGTTTACAATTTAAATAGGTACATTGCTTACCAGAGAGGTTGGCTTGTGAGAACACTTTGTGGCGCATATTAAAAACATTTTCAGCATTAATGCGCTTTCTATAAGATTGGTAAACAAAGTGCATAATATTGAATGCTGCTGTCCCAGATATCGAAAGTGGTCTCATTGTTACAAATTCTACCTCCGTTAACCTGCGCATCCAAGAATTACTTTGGTACGTTAGGGAATTGCACTCGTGATTTTGATGCACATTCCCACAAACAACAGTCCAGTAACCTTCAATAAACTTACAAAAGATGAAGGAAGGAGATTGAGTGTTTACGGTAGTCCTTAATGAAAAATTATAATAACACTAATCAAATTACCTCGTTCGTCTACTCGGCTGTGAGAAACCGCTAGATGTTCTACGGTCATTTCTCCAACATACGAATCTAATATACGGCTTCCGATCTCTATGGAAATGAGAATCTCTCATCACATAATGGCAGTACGTAGCTGTTTCATAAGTTCTAATGGCGCTCTTCAACGCTTCAAGAGATTTGAACGCTACGAGATACAACGTGTTCAAGAATAGGTTATCAGTTTCTGTGACAATGTGAGGAACGACAGAGTTCGTGCTTTGCATGTTACTACCGTTCATAATTGGAAGAAAATATACTCTATCGTCAAGTCCTGACACATTATATCGATTTTAAGAAATAAACGACCAATTATAACGAACTTAAAACTAGCTATTTCATTGAACGAAACAGAATGAAAATTATTGGAAGATGGGGATGAAGAAAAATTCCGCTCAAAAAAAATACAAAAATGGCTGTGGAATAATGTTAACCTACTACTTGGATTAAGCTTAGAAAATAACTTTTATTGTGTTGTTTGTTTTGATGATAAATAATCACGGAAAAGACAGTTCAAAGTGTTTTTTGTAAATACCGAGAACTTGATAGTATGGCTGCTTTTTCAGTTATTTCTGGTTTTGATTGTTTGCAACATTGCGGGTTTCCACATTTGTTGTACTTACTTTACTTACTGACACCTGTTACTCCTCATGGAGATGCATAGGCCGCTCACTAGCACTCGCCATCAAACTCTGTCCTGGACAATCTTTTCCGGCTCCTTCTGGTTGTTATTCTTCCCTTTCATATCTGCTTCTGTTTCCCGAAGTAATGTGTTCTATGGCCTTCCTCTTTCCGGCTTCCCTTCAGGATTCCAAGTTAGGACTTGCCTCGTGATGCAGTTTGATTTCCGTAATGTATGTCTTATCCATTTTCATCGTCTTCCTAATTTCTTTTTCAGCTGGAAGCTGGTTTGTTCTCTACAACAGTAGGCTGTTGCTGATGGTATCCGGCCAGTGGGTGTTGATTATCTTGCTTAGACAACCATTCATAAATACTTGTACCTTCTTGATGGTGGTTGTTGTAGTTCTCAAACTTTCAGCTCCGTAAAGTAGAACTGCCTTGACGTTCGCATCGAACATTCTGACTTTGATATTGGTTGGAAGGTGTTTTGAGTTCCATATGTTCTTCAATTGAAGGAATACGGACCTTGTTTTCCTAATCCTCGCCTTTACGTCTGCATCTGATCCTCCTTGTTCATCGATGATGCTTCCCAGATATGTGGAGGATTCTACATCTTCCAGAGTTTCGCCATCAAGAGTGATTGGATTGGTATTTTCCGCCTTGAATTTGAGGACCTTGGTTTTCCCGTTGTGTATGTTGAGGCCTACTGATACAGAGACTGCTGCTACACTGGCTGTCTTTATGTGCATTTGTTCGTGAGTATGCGATAGGAGGGCTAGGTCATCTGCGAAGTCCAAATCGTCTAATTGATTTTGAGATGTCCATTGTATGCCATGTTTCCTCTCAGATGTCGAGGTCTTCATAATCCAGTCGACCACCAGAAGAAAGAGGAAGGGAGAGAGTAGACAGCCTTGTCTCACTCCGGTCCTTACTTGGAATGCATCTGTCAGCTATCCTTCATGCACGACCTTGCACTGTAGTCCGTCGTATGAGTTCCGGATAATGTTGACAATCTTCTCAAGACCTCCATAGTGTCGAAGAAGTTTCTATAGTGTTCTCTTATCTACACTGTCAAACGCCTTTTCATAATCAATGAAGTTGATGTATAGTGACGAGTTCCACTCAACTGATGTTCGACGATGACCCATGGTGTCGCAATTCGGTCTGTGGACGACCAATCCTTATGGAATCCAGCCTGTTGATCTCGAAGTTGAGCATCTACTGCATTTTTATCCAGTTCAGCAAAACTCTGTTAAAGACTTTCCCTGGTACTGGCAATAGTGTGAAGTCTCTTTAGTTTTCACATTTGCTCAGATCTCCTTTCTTTGAAATGTTGATGAAGTGTCCTTCTTTCCAGTCCATCAGCACTTGTTCCTCCCAAATCTTGAATAGAAGGTGAAGCGTGTTTGTAGTTACTTCTATGTCTGACTTCAGTGCTTCAGCTGGTATATTGTCTGGTCATGCTGCTTTCCCGCTCTTGATTTGTCTGATGGTTATCCTAACTTCGTCAGTAGGAATTTCTGTGTGTGCTGCATCGATGTCCAGTGGATTTACTGAAGCCAGCTCATTCAAGAGTTCCTCAAAGTGCTCTGTTCATCTGTTCCGCTGTTCATAAGTCGCAGTGATGGTCTTGGCTTCTTTATCCTTGATCGGTCTCTCTGGCTTTCTATATTTCCTGATAGTTTCTTCGTTGTGTGATAAAGCTGTTTCATATTTCCTTCTCTTACAGCTTTTCCGCTGTCATTTTTAGGTCGTTCACGTATTTCTGCTTGTCAGCTGTCATACTCTTCTTCATTTGCTTTTTTGTTTGTGTGTACTCAGCTTGTGCTCCGACTTTCTCTGTTCGTGTTCGGCTGTTGTTGATTGCTGTCTTCTTGTTCTTTCTTTCTTTAGTTCTGTCAACAGTGTTGATAGAGATCCCTTTCATTATGATGATGCTTGTTGTGCCCCAGAACCTCCTGTTATGTTGAAGTTAATGCTTCTTTGATACCTTTCCAGTTGTCCTCCATCTTAGTTTCTTCTTTCAGTAGATCTTACAAGGCTTGGAATCTGTTGTTGAGAGTTATCTTGAATTCGTTGAGTTTGTCAGTATGTGGAAGGGAGGCTGTATTTAACCTTTGTACTGCTGTTTCAACAGTTGTCCAGTGCTTCTTTAGCCTCAGTTTCATTCTGGCAACCATCCTGTGGTGATGATAAGCTATGTCAGATTCTCTCCTGGTTCTCACATCTTCCATTGACCTTCGGAATTCTTTAGTGATTCAAATATGATCTATCCGGTTCTCTGTAACATAGTCAGGATTGACCCATGTAGCTTTGTGTATGCGTTTGTAGCAAAAGTAGTAACGCCTATAACCATTTAGTTGAATGCACATAAGCTTGCAAATATTTCTTCATTCTCGTTCCTTTCTCCCAGAGAGTCCATGTCATTTCATGATATCTTCATATCCGGTGTTGTCCATTCCGACTTCGGCATTTAGGTCTCCCATCAGGATGGTGAGATTCTTTCTTGGGCACTTCGCTATGATTGATTGCAACCTCTCATAGAACTGATCTTTATTGTCGTCGTTGCTATCGTTGGTTGGTGCATAACATTGGATAACATTCATCGTGATTCCATTCTTTGTTTTGAAAAATGCTTTGATGTTCCTGGACCCGTGAGATTCCATCCTATAGGTGCATTTCGTGCTACTTTGGACAACATTAGAGCAACTCCCTGAGGGTGTAGAACATTTTCCTCTTCGTGACCGGAGTACAGCAGCATCTCTCCCGTATTTAACCTTTGTTGTCCAGCTTGGCTCCCGTGAGTTTCACTGATTCCGAGTACTGCCAAGTTGTATCTCCTCCTTTCCTTTGCTTTTTGGATAGTCCTTCCGGTCTCCCACATTATCCGGACGTTCCATGTACCTATAGAACTTGTTACTCTGGTTTTTAGAAGGGGCATCGGTCTCGTGGCTTCTGAAGGAACCCGGCTTTCACCATGATGTGTCATAGTTCTTCTAAATGAAGACTTTTTAACTCCCAGGGCAGAGTTTAAATGGTTTAATTTGTTGATTCTGGTTAGCGTTTTTTAGCGATTTAGTTTTCTACGGGATGGGGTCGCTAATCCCATGTCCAACCCTCCTCCTTTGCCCGGGCTTGGGATTGGCATTAACTCTGGAAGAGCTACAGTCGGAGTTACATCAGTTGTACATAACAATATTTATTTTATAGAAAACATCAGGGTCATAGCAAAATGGTTGTCATTATACTTATTTTACGTTTAATTGTTCATCATGAAGGTATAATAATCAGTGGATGATATTTGACGCTAAACAATGGCCAAGAAATAAAAGATCACTTATGATAGCTGAACAACTACCGTAAGTAATTCATATTCTTATACTTTACTAAAGGGTATATGTTAAAGCTTTGTATAAATGCTCTCTAGTAAACTCACTTGTAAACTGTCGTATAGAAATAGACAAAATAAGTAAATTGAATCTCAAAACAGTTGATTCAATTTTTAATAGTATAACAACTAGAAACTACTCACCTTGGAATAGAAGTCAACAGTCTCTGTGCTTTAATATCACTATCGTAAGAAGTGTAGTGGCTGTATCCATAAATTAATGCTGTTGTTTACTCACAGAACCTAAGGATATTTGGCCTGAGGCAGATGGAACAAAACGTTAAGAATTATTGTATGCTATTTAAAGTAAAAGTGAATACTAAAGCTTCATTTAATTCAGTCTACAGACATTTGATCTATTGTTTCCAGATACTAAATTTTACTGACTCAAGACACTTAAAGAATCCCACGCGATTAAGACTAACAACTAGCGATTTTAGATACATGACCCGTATCTGCAGGTTTGTAACCCTACAAGTTCTTTTCCTGAAACTTAGTATCTGAATTTAGTTATCCCCACTCGATAACTCCGGTGCATACAGAGAATTCTTCCAAGCAATTGATCATTAGGTGGTCGTAACTAGTTTTCTTATCAACTTTTTGCTATTGTATATCATAACCTTGTAATAGAACACATCGTACTCTCTTGGTGTACATCTAAATCAGTGATAAGTATTAATAGATTGGTGATATAAGTTTTTAAATCCTGACCAAACACTGTCGATCTATTTCATGTTCAGTTCTGTAGCATAAATCAGTCTCGATTTAATTTTCGATTAATATATGTGTGTTTAATCTAAACGAATAAGTTTATTTTACTGTAAAATGAAACATAAACAAACTTATGACAGATGTTTGGAAAAAATTTTGTATTATGTTATAGTATAATAATATAAACCTATCGAACAAGTCAGTCTCTAAACAATACGCTAATAATTCTGCAAATAATGTTGAAATCAATAATAGTTACGATACCAGTTAAAACAGTGAATTTCTACTTACCACCTATTTTATCTTGAGACGATGGAATACGCAGCTCGAATGGATGTATTTGATATTGTTGCGCTCTCCAACTTAGGATAGCTTAATAGCGAACTTAAAAAAAACACCGACACTATTTTCTATCTTTCAGAAGTGGTTAATACATTATGAATGTCGTTGTCAACAGCTAAGTGTTTTCACTTATTTGTACCGTTAGGATCCAACTGGTTATTAGGATTTTTGAAACAAACAATTACCTAGAAGTTGTTTTAGACATTTCTGTATCTAGCGGCTTCTCGAGTTTTTTTTAAACTTTGAACAAAACTTGCAGTTTTCCAAAAAGGTAGCTAATTACGGACAAATGATTTCTCGAGCTAGATTATTAAGTTTTAGCGTAGACAAGCTAGATCAATCCTACCCTGGATTTCTAACTAGTCGTATCCTCTAGAACCCTAGTCAGAAAACCGATGTAGTTCACACTTAATATATTCTCAACTCCTTAATTGTTTTATGTCATGGCGATAAAAAATATTTTCAAATAATTGTATTAATTACTGGCATATCCACTGACCATATATTTTCTACTAGTAATTTCAGACTTTGGATGTAATAGTAAATGAATCGTATCTCTACTTTTATGTGATCATATTTAGCTTAGATCATAAACTGATGAAATCTAGCTATAAGATTCTTTCTAATGAATTTAATTAACATAAAATCTATAAGATATAACACACTGCTAGTTAATTTATTTGTGAGTTTATATTGGATATTGCCATGTAAATGATACTAATCATATATACTGTATAAATTTATTTTTGTGTAGAGGAATAGTGTCCAGTCTTGATGTAACAAATATACTGAAAATTCAAGGTTATTGGGCCAGTTATAATCTACCGTAAGTTTTTATTCAATATTATTAACAATTTAGCATTAGGTATTTTCTAATATTCATTAAAACGAAAAGATCACTTGTCGATTTATTATAACAGTTAAAAAAACTCTGTGACTATTTGTGTTTTCCAAATACAACAAAATATTATCAGTGGAGAATGGAATCATTCTTTTAGGAATTAGTTATCTGAATCTAGTGGTATGTCCGTGAGTATTCCTTTCTTTAATATAGTATTTGTCAACTTAAAAAAAAGAAATAAAAGTTTGCCATTTTACGTCGTCGAGGAATACAAGAAAATAAAATCACTTTATTTTTTACATAAAATCTCGTACTAGAACAATTTACAATAAACGTTTCTGTAAACCTGAATGAATATGGAAATTCGGAAATTAAATGTGTTTTCAGGATACCAAATATGCTTTTGTTGAGACCAGAAGTAACGAGGTGGTTATCTTTCAAGAACAAATCCTCAATAATTTTGTGAAGCTTTTTATTTCCACACAGCAAATACTTCATAGTAGGCTACCACAAAAGGTATGACATAAAAAGAAGTGAATGTGTAGCAGAGGTACTTCTTTATGGCCATGCAACTTTATTTCTACCAGTCGGAAAATCCTAATTCGTAAACAGAATCTTATTAAGTAAATAGATTTTTCGAGAATTGTTTAGCTCCATGTCATGCTTCGCTTCTTTTAAACTACGTATTTCACGTTTAACTTCCCATTGCAGTCGATATTATTTCCTCTCTTCTGCTTCCCACTTCATTAATTTCACATCTTGATGTTCTCTTTCGACTTGTGGCTACTTGAATCGTACCAGATCGTTTGTCATTTATAACGAACAAATTGAAGAGTTTGTAAGCTTCTTCGGAACTTCAACATCGACAATAGATTCGTTTGTAAATCTTTAACAATATGTAGTCGTTCATATGATGTAGGATAAACAGATTAAATATAAACCACTATTTAATAGTAAAGTTTCTTCTCCAGAATCACAAAGTTAACGAAAAATCCTTATGCTTGGATTAGTACCCATTGATTCAAAGTTGTGTGACACAATTATATGAAGCTAGATCATACACTGAAGCAGTGAATAGAACCTATATTTATTTTTAGTGTGATAATATCTGGTCGAATGTTTACGCATGTTAAAAATTGTTATGACTTTGCTCGTCATCGTTTGTCAACTATCAAACTCCAATCGACTTTACTAAATCTTTAATATCTCATCGTCATATCCAGTTTTTAATATACAATTATTGCTTATAGATTTATAACTTAGGCGATTTTAATTTAATTCTAAGCTCTTATTCCAACTTCGTTTGTTGTCCAGGTTTATTGATGATATCTACATACTCAGTGGAACAAAGAATATGGCCAAAATGCATGGAGACTGGTATGTACATAATATGACATCGAGGGCCAAAATTTTCCGACGTGATCATCACAAAGTTGTTGATTTTCCAAGTATGATGTCGCTTATGAGGCAAGTCTAACTGTAACTTTTGTTATATTCCTATGATATTTCACCAACAATTGATAGTTTAACAACACTAAGGACACTATGATAAATTTCAGATTTATGATTTAACTAGAATTGGTAATTTTATCCAGAACATTATAACACACTTCTAACTTAAATGCAATTAAATAGTAACTTTAGGGTTTGTGCTTTTACATGCTGGTTATAAGATGAGAGTATGTAATCGAATTCAGTTTAACTAACTTGATATTACATAAGACATCTTTTGTGGTGATTCTATATTGCATAACTGCGTGATTATTCAACTAAATTCCCAATCACAGCACGAATTATTTCTAAGATGTACTTTCTTAATAATCCTAGTAAAGTAATCCACTTTTTTATTTTTATATATCTTGCAAGAGCGAATTCAATGTGTTTGGTGCTTAGACATTTATATTCATGTGAATCGATTATTTGCCGACCCCACGCTTTATTGAGTGCTTTGAAAATGTCAGTCAATCCATTTAGGATACATCGTGCAGTATTTTGTCCAAATATATGTACATTACCATAAAAAAAGTAGTATTTGACCACAGATGCCTTAGAAATATTGCTCGTATCTGCTGGGAACACCGAGTAAGTTAATAATGAGGTTAGACGCAGGGTATTAGGGAATGATGGTAAATCAGTTGATGAGGTTGTGAATCTTCATCGACTGAGATGGTTGGGCCACGTGGTACGTATGCCTGAACACCGATTACCACGACATGCAATGCTAACCGGTGTTCCGGATGGTTGGAAGAAAGTTAGGGACATCCAAACCAAAACGTGACGTTAGTGCTTGAAGACATTAACTTCTAGTCTGAGCCATGTTGTTAGATGCACACTACTTGGTTGGGGTCTATTGTAACCAATGGTTGGTGACACGGCTCAGAATCGATCATAATGACGTAGGTGTATATACTCTCTGTCTTCCCTTAAACTAAGAGATTAAAATCACTTCATCTCTTTCTTTCTACGAACTAATTCTTTCATCCTGTACTATGTTCTTACATACAATCTTTCTTCTATATATTACCACCATTTACTTAACCACTTCTATGAATCCGGTGTTCATCTTGCTGTGCTAATGCGGTATGGCAACTTGGGTCGATGTACATATGTATCTGGTCCTACTTTGTAGCTGACTAACTGACATCCCCGAAAGAACCAGTCGTTAGTGTTATCTATCATAAGGTTTTAAAATTCGAATTTTCAAGTGTCATTTCGTTAGAGGACGTATTTTTACTTTCAGATATAATGACTTCATGAATGATCCATTATCTGCCTGTCCGTGTAAACCTCCGTACACAAGTAACAAAGCTATATCAGCACGAGATGAGCTGAATGATCCGAAAGGACAGTATCCAATTCGTTCGTGGTCCTACCGCCTACATGGAGGAACAGACGCTAAAGTTGTTGACTTATCGATGATGAATCAAGTAAGTTGAACAGATATTAAGAAATCGAAAGAGAAGCAGGACTTGATATTCTAGAATCCTTAATAATGGTGGTCCAGTCTTAGAAGATAGGTGGACTGATATATTAACCAGAGTATAAGAACTGGATAAAATCCCATTTCGCTGATCTGGATCACTGATCAATCTAAGGTTTGATTTAATAATTTCGAATAAATTAAACATTGGATAATTATTATAAATAAATAATTTATTTGTAATGTCGCAATAAGTAGAAAAATTGGATTTTCTGACGTTTCGTGACTTCGTGTAAGCCACTTCTTCAGAGAATAAATAACCAAATTAAAATTAATCCAAGTTTAAATAGTGCAACGGAACAACACGAATATTATGTGATCAATCGAAAAACAGGTCTGAATAAATCAATGTCATGTCATTACGGTCAATGTGATTCATAAGCGACTTGTATGTAAATTTGTGTGTATGTATGTGTGCACTGTTAAGGATGAAAATTGTGTGACCTTTATGGTGAGAAAGAATAGTGTTTAATTTGTAAGATAATAGTGTGAATTGTAAATAATATCAGACTAGGTGGCTAGGATAGATAGTTCAAGTAGGATGTATGGTAAGGCCTTTTTTCTATTGAGAGAAGTAGGATTAAGCATTATATGGAACGCTTCAGCTAATCTGCTTTCTTTGTAATCGGAAAAACATTTTTGCCGATTTAATTCGAAGTCTATCTACTTCTACGTGATTATGATGTGGTTTCTTTGTGTACCTAATATGTTCTTTGACACGAGTCAAGATATCGCGTGATGACTCTCCAATATAGAAGGTATCACAATCGACACAACCTAATTTGTAGACGCAGTCAGTCAGTCAGTCAGCTACAACGTAGGACCAGGCACATATGTGCATCGGTCCAGGTTGCCATACCTCATTAGCACAGCAAGATGAACACCGGATTCATAGGAGTGGTTAGGTCAAAGGTTGCAATAAGGATATAGTATAGGAAGAAAGAATTAGTTCGTAGAAAGAAAGATATGAAGTGATTTTAATCTCTTAGTTTAAGGGAAGACAGAGAGTATATACACCTACGTCATTATGATCGATTCTGAGCCGTGTCACCAACCATTGGTTACAATAGACCCCAACCAAGTAGTGTGCATCTAACAACATGGCTCAGACTAGAAGTTAATGTCTTCAAGCACTAACGTCACGTTTTGGTTTGGATGTCCCTAACTTTCTTCCAACCATCCGGAACACCGGTTAGCATTGCATGTCGTGGTAATCGGTGTTCAGGCATACGTACCACGTGGCCCAACCATCTCAGTCGATGAAGATTCACAACCTCATCAACTGATTTACCATCATTCCCTAATACCCTGCGTCTAACCTCATTATTAACTTACTCGGTGTTCCCAGCAGATACGAGCAATATTTCTAAGGCATCTGTGGTCAAATACTAGTAGCTTACGGGTGTCTTCCACTCTTAAAGGCCATGTTTCGCTGCCGTAAAGTAAGACAGAACGGACTGCCGCGCAGTATACTCGTCGTTTTATTGATAGACGGATATCTCGCCTCCGCCAAAGGTGACGTAAGTTGGCAAAAGCCAAACGAGCTTTTCGAATCCGTGCTGAGATTTCGTCAGACACCAACCCATTAGGGCTGATCAGACTTCCAAGATAAGTGAAGTTGTCAACGCGTTCGACTACTTCACTCCCTATCCTTAGTTCAGGTGTTGACGCAGACCAGTCCTGAAGCAACAACTTGCATTTAGAGGGAGAGAAGCGCATCCCAAACATTCTGGCATTGCTGCTTAGTGCTACCAGAAGACTCTGTGTTAACATGAATGGGACATTTTTCTTTTAAGCGAACTAAAGTATTTTGAAGTGTGTTTGTTGTTTTGTAATATACTTTAATTCTGTTGTGTTAAGATTCTTTGGAATTCTTCTGTTGTGCCATGACGGTATGGTAAAACTGCAGTACCAATCCACGGCATTTCATTCGAATTATTATTACGCACTGAAACCTCTTGTTTTAATATACTTCCAATAATCTTCATGGGAAAATTATTAAATTGTAAGATGCTAATTACATTCGTTTGTCCTCTTCTGATGTGATGAACCTGTTGGCTCTTCTAAAAATCCAATTGCTACAACCACAGAATATTTAATAAACGTTGTTTACAAGAGAACATTATTCCGAAATCTGTTTTTGTAAAACCTCCAGAACTATCCTGGAGATCTATCCAGACTTCGCAACGCTCGTCTCGAGTATTTTTACGAGAACGTATTCACAAGTGCACATATTTACTTGAAAAATATCGTGAACGAATCAAAAACCTAGATGATCTACTTAGGCTTCAATTCCTACAAAAATTACAAACTACGATATCTAACCTGTTTATAGAAAGAAAACGCCATTATTTAGATTCATCAAAACGCCAGCAATTAAAAGAAATGGAAAAGATCAAGGAAAGAAAGAAAGATAAGAAAAGGTCAGCAATAAAATCTAATTCGAATGATCTAAGAATTGTTCATAATCGCTCAGACAGAAACTTAACCAATCATGAAATCACTCTACTGGAGAAAGGATTAAATTTCAATTTACATAGAAAACCACTTAGTACTCTTGCAGTTGCTCCAATTATAGAACCAATAATCACACAACTACCAGAAAAAGATCCACATTTAATACGTCAAAAGACATCCCATATTTTGACTAAACAAAAACAAGTTACACCAAACATTTCAACAGAAGAATTTGAGGCTCTGCATTCGCTTAAAAAGAAAAAAACTATTATAATCACAAAAGGCGACAGAGGCAACACAACAGTGGTCATGAATAAAACGAACGAAACAGCCGTCCAGTACTTCCAGGTTTTCCATGGTGGTCTAGCTTCAATTGACTCATGATTTCAACCAGTGAAATTTCTAGAATCTCCACAAAACCCCTTCTGATAAAAAAAACAGATTATATTAATAAAGCTCTTGAACATCTCTCAACAGGACCATATGAAAAGATCAATCCAAAAAATTCTCTAATGTTTAATGATAAAGTCAAATCCGATACAAGTCAAATTTTGAAAGAACTAAAACCAGTCATTGGTGTCCAGCCTCCCGCTACATCTCAATAGAAAAAAGGCCTTACCATACATCCTACTTGAACTATCTATCCTAGCCACCTAGTCTGATATTATTTACAATTCACACTATTATCTTACAAATTAAACACTATTCTTTCTCACCATAAAGGTCACACAATTTTCATCCTTAACAGTGCACACATACATACACACAAATTTACATACAAGTCGCTTATGAATCACATTGACCGTAATGACATGACATTGATTTATTCAGACCTGTTTTTCGATTGATCACATAATATTCGTGTTGTTCCGTTGCACTATTTAAACTTGGATTAATTTTAATTTGGTTATTTATTCTCTGAAGAAGTGGCTTACACGAAGTCACGAAACGTCAGAAAATCCAATTTTTCTACTTATTGCGATATTACAAATATATTATTTATTTATACTGACTAATCTAGTTTATAAGAGTACATTTATAAACGTGTTCTGATAACCAAAAACAATCAGTTTTATTGACAGTCTAAAATATTAGCCTCTATAACCATACGGTGCTAATCTGGTTTGCGTGCGTAATAATATCTGGAAAACAATCCTGGTTTCATACCTGGACGTGGGTATGTGAATCCGATATTCATCCTTCATCTACTTCTACGACAGAAGTACTCAAAGACATTCAACGATGGTAGTATTTCTTAACATTAAGACAGTATCCAGATCTGTTGAAATGAGTGTTAAGGCAATACATATATCTCCTGAAGGTTCTCCAATTGAACACTGATGGTAGAGTCAGAACTCATGGGGAAATATTCCCAGAACTGTAAGCCTCCAGTAACATTCGTCAGAGGTTTCTACCATAACCTCTATATTACTATATGGTAGCGCAATTGTCTTTGAAAGTAGGAATTTGTAGGCTACAGGCTTTCTATCATAGGTACCTTCGAAGAATCGCTCGCGTTTCTTGAAATGACTGAGTGGCCACTCTTGAATTTAGGTTTACGGTACTTGGGAAAAGTATCAAATTGTTTGATGGGTTAGTCAATTTTCATCGACTGAGGTGGTTAGGATATGCTTTAAGTATGTTCAATTATCGCCTACCTCGATGAGCGATGCTTGTCAGTGCATGAGTAGGTTAGAAGAAAGCTGTGGACAGCCAAAGTAAAACGTAAGATATGTCCATGAATTCATTAACTGTGAGTTTAAGCCATTTGTGTAGGTATGGACTACTGGGTTGGGCTCCGCGTGATATTAAGTAAACCCAACCATTGTCTACCTCGACGAGTACTGTTAGCTGATATAGAAGTAGGCTGAAGCAAAGCCGAGGGTAGTAAAACCAAGGCGCAGGATCTGTCCATCAAGTCTTTGAGTGTTGGTTTAAGTTATGTAGGTACATACAGATTACCTGGTTGATGCTCACGTGATAAGCACGACCAGTGGTTCGAAATAGTGGGTGAAATGACTCAGAATCGGTCATAATGGTACAGATTCATTCAATCTTCATATTCCTTTAGGTCTGCAATCCCACTATTCTATCAGATATACTTTTTCACTCATTATTCTCAAATCATGTTCTTAATTTTTAGTTTTTTCTAGTTTTCACAACTACTAGATTGTTTTAACTGCTTAGTTATTCATCTTGTTAATTTCGTCCTTACATGCTGTGGTAAGTTAATATGGGCTATTGGACATTTGTCCCAGACTCTATGATAATTATGGTTAACTTCGAAATGAAGATATGCAGTTCAGGTAGATGCTTTTGGTATTGTGCAGTTCTCTGAACTAGGTTGCCAAATTATACTGATCAAATACTGAACTACAATGGTAACAACCCAACAGCACATAAAAGGTTCTGCATAGACATTCAAATGAGACAAAACGCACAGCAGAATTTTAACCACACGGAAAGTTGAAACAAATCATCTATCTGTTTTTCATAAAATTAGAGAATCAATCCATCATCGTACAATCAATTCCAGAAACTAGGAAACGGGTGGTGCTGATATATATGTGAAACCTCAGAAATCACCACGAGGGTTGTAGAACATTTTGGAATGAATATGGTTCAGAAACTAACGTAATCACTCCACTTCATTTTATCAAGACCTATAGGAAAAACAACCGAAGAAAATAAATCCAATACCAACTGCAACAAACAATACATTAGAAGAGGTTGACAACCTCCGGATACACAAACTCAGCGACACAATATCTTATCACTGGTATCAATGCATGCAGACAATGGACATAAATTTGACAGGGAAAACGTCGAAATTCCGGATCTGGTGAATCCAAAGAATGCCAGGAAATTTCAGGATGCATGGGATTCAGATCAATCAGCAACTAATATACATATTGAATTAGACCTGACCTATTATCCATTTGAAGAAGATCAATCAATAACCTGATCAGAGGTGAATGAAACAAAACAGCTAACTTAAGTACAAGAACAAACTAATACGGTAAAACCAACGAAGACAATTATAAACAAGAGTAACGGAGTACCCAAAAAGCCCATTTCTACATGAAGTAATCCCTGATAATGTTTAGAATCATCTAGTCCAGACAACTCAACAACACTAATGATTGAGTTTATTTTGAGCAAGTTACTAATGAATGGTGATTATTTTGTCTCTTGAATCTGAGCATTTATACTGACGTTCATTCGTTCGAACTCCTCCTCTCGAATTTATTCATTTTAAAACTCGTCCATATAGTTCTGTAGGATTTGTTATAATTTTTCTGTGATAGTTGGCAAGTACTTCAGAGGCCTTTGTTCAAAACAAAAGCATCTTATTAATTTCCGTTAATATTAGTAATAGCCATATTTAATGACAACACTGTCTTTATATTTCTAGCTCAACATGATTGCAATCAGTGGACCGACCTACGACAACTTGCCTCCATTTCGCTGGTCACTAATTAAAGATGTGAAGAAACCTTTGATGCACCCAGATAAGTGGCAGTTCCCACCTGTGATCACCAAATTTATCGATTACCTATCTACAAATGGAAATATTTCTGCTGGATTCCTTTCCGTAGAATCATTGTTTTAGTCCCCTTTAATAAAGTAGATTTCATTAACCATATGGATATAACTTACTGTAGATTGCTCTATAATCTGAAGTTTTGTTAGACATTATTGCTCTAATCTGGTATTGTTTGCAAAGATCTTTCGAACTGCTTATTTCGTTTGTTACACAAATTTTGGTAGTACAGGCCACCAAAAGCAGTACTTGCCAGACAAATGAAGTGATAATATTGTGAAAGAATCGATGGAAAAATAGTTCAATCAATCAATAAATGAATAATGATAGTATTTGATAACTGAGACAGGCTAGTTGGAACACGGTTAAAAGGGGCTCCTTTAAGTTAGAGAAGCTTATCTCAGTCTTATACATACTGTGATAAAAAAAATCTATAGCTGATTCACCACCGACCTCCATTCTGAGTCAAAATATCGAATCATAGTTGCATCATCTCTAAGACTCCCACCGAGAAGTCATGGTAGACCAATAAAAGCCAATCCTGTATATCTATCTTCAGTACCATTGTGTCATGTTGTTAACCCAAGGCTGAAGAGAAATAGTCAGATTGATCAACACTACTATTGAATCGAACAGTGCCTGTATACCATCACTTTCAGATGTTGTTTTGCAGCAACTATGACAGTGTTCTAGCATTTGAAGGAGAGTGAAAAAGTGATCAATACTGAACAAAAACTAGCCTTCTCTTTACTAGTCACTCTTCAACGGGTTTCGCATAATTGTAGTATAACAGAAGTTGAAAAATTGGGAGTTATCAAAATATTTGTAGCCCAATACTTGTTCAATAGATTGCGCATGGGCTTTTTAAAGGTGAGAACGACGAACGCTACATCACAAGATGGTGGGATGAGCAGTCAGAAATCCGTCAGTCTTAAACAGGTGTAACAACTAAGTCGTCCGGAGCTAGTGACTTGTGGCGCTTCAAAGTTAGAGCTCACTACGGACCTCCGCCACCCTGAATGGGACAGTAGTTAAGGTTTACAGGACAGTCTGGTTTGTAAGAGCTTGAACTAACAGGAAGCAGTTTGAAGACCAGAAGGCAGTAGCCCGCCAACACGACCATAGCTTCTGCCTTGACGTAGCGGTCAGCTTTGCCTTTTGTGACTATTCAACCGAGCTATATTGGCGTGAATACATGTACCCTAAAGTCCTACCGTGCCAGGTAGGTCACTTAGAAGACTGTAACCCTTAAATCAGCAACTTAAGCTCTGAGAATGAAGTACTGCTGAATATGGAGGGGTGTGACAGCAACAAGATGTTCCCCTCGGACTGACACACCTGCAACGCCGCTACGTCCTCACAACAGAAGGCGCTACGAAATTTCGCAAATCCTGCCTCATAGATTTCTGCCTTCGGTAGTAAGGCCTTATGGAGTGCGGAGCTAACACATCAAAAGCTTCCCATAAAAAGGTCGAGCATGACGGGCCTCAACCAGTTGTCTCCTCGATTCTGTGGTCACACTCCCACGTCACTAAGACCACCACCAAATCAGCTTAGTTTTCAGGTCTCTCAAGAAGGAATATCCCACCACGGTGTGGACAGCCGGGAAGTAATAAGCGCCCTTATACCTCTACCAACACTTGAGGTCACCTTGTTCACGACAACCCCCCTCAACTCTTGATAATTATCCCACCTCCACGAACAATACTTCTCGCATATCATCACGCGCCAGCAATGCTAATGATTTGCGCTTGAGAACTATTATTTCTGGTTTCCTGAAACTACTACCTAAACTACATATTATAGCTTTTAATGTTCGAAATTTTTGTCGAATAGAGCAACAGACTTTCCTAACTAGGAATCTAGAAGCTCACACCATCGATGTCTGCTGTGCCTCGTGAACGCACATCAGTCAGTCAGCTAGAACGGTCCAAGTTACCATACCTCATTAACACAAGATGAACGCCGGATTCATAGAAGTAGTTAGTTCAGTGGTGGTAATATATAAAAGAAAGATTGCATATAAGGACATAGTACAGGAAGAAAGAATTAGTTCGTAGAAATAGAGATATAAAGCGATTTTAATCTCATAGTTTAAGAGAGGAGAGAGAGTGCATACAACGACGCCATATCACCCAGAGTCTCCAACCATTGGTTACAATAGTCACGCGGACCCCAACCAAGTAGTCTGCATCTACCAACATGGCTCAGACCAGAAGTTAGTAAATTCACTGACTGATGCCACGTTTCAGTTTTGCCGCTCCTAACTTTCTTCCAACCATCCCCAACGCCGGTTAGGATTGCTCGTCGTGGTAATCGGTGTTCAGGTATACGCAACACGTGACCCAACCATCTCAGTCGATGAAGATTCACAACCTCATGAACTGATTTACCATCATTCCCTAATACCCTGCGTCTAACCTCACTATTGCTTACCCGGTTATCCCAGCAGATACGACCAATATTTCTAAGGCATCTATGGTCAGATACTAGTGGCTTACGAGTATCTCCTACTCTTAATGGCCACGTTTCGTAGCCGTATGGTAGAACAGAATGAACTGCTGCGCAGTATACTCGTCCCTTGATTGGTAGACGGATATCTCACCTTCGTCACAGGTGATGTATGTTGGCAAAAGCCAAACGAGTTTTCTGAGTCCGTGCAGAGATGTTGTCAGACACCAACCCATTAGGGCTGGTCAGACATCCAAGATAAGTGAAGTTTTAGATGCGTTCGACTACTTTACTCCCTATCCTTAGTTCAGGTGTTGAGGTAGACCAGTCCTTAAGCAACTACACTGGGCTTTGTCATCTGTGTTTTCTAATACGACCTGCTGATGGGAGATCAATTACCGAATATTCGTTCTAAACGTCTGGACTGGAAACAGATGAGTGTCGTCTTTTTCTGAGACAGTTTCACTTACACTTATTAATTCTAGTCTGAAGAGCGGTCTTGTGTAACCTACGGCCGTCGTCTTTACCATCTCTTTTGCTTTCACTGCCAACCACTGCTCAAGGTTTAGCTTTCTGAAGAATTTCAGAAAGCTTTCTGTAAAAGCCATCTCTCACTTCGTACGGGATGTACTCAGCGGGAGCGTAGGCAAAAACGATTAAAATACAACGAAGTGTGTCTCCATCCTTACGAGTTCTTACGAAGAACATAGGCGACTATTAACGGGTACCCACTCTAATAGTGCTTGTTCTGCCCTCGTACTTAGTGTTATACCTACATCTGTTAGTCCACGAGAACTAGCCGTCGGGTCGCCAGATACATGGAGGGCGTTTCTCGTCGTTTTGACGAGGTGAGGTCAAGTGAATGGCCACACTAGGATCTTGATTATATGTTTCGCAGACACAGCATACATCAATGGTACGAGATTCTAAGGTTTTAGTCAAGGAGGCCTGCTGACCGATTTGACACAAGATGATTACGTTGAAAGCACTAATGTGTAGTTCAGAGCGAGGTCTCAGTAGACCTGAGAGGAAGTTAAGAGTTAAAAGCCGACATATAAGGAGTACTAAAAACTGTAGAGGGAGATTGATTATGAACACAGTGATCTTGAGTGGGACGGTTATCACTTCCCGGCTGCCCACACCGTGGAAGGGTTCTTCTGGAGGTACCTGAAAAGGAAATTGGATTAGAGGTGGTCTTAGTGACCTGGGAGCGTGACCGCAGTGCCCAACGGACAACTGCTTAAGGTCGGTCACACACGACCTTTTCATGGGTAATTTTTTTGTTAGCTTCGTACTTGTTGAGACCCTACCGGCGGAGACGGATGTCCGTGGGATAAAACGAGGTTTGCGTTTTTAAGGTCGACCAGTTCCGACCCCACCCCTCCTTGTGGGAGGGCAACATCACTGTTATGCTGGTTGTCTGAAGGAAACATCTTGCTGCTGTCCCTGTCTCCAATCAAGTTGTCGAAATAAATGCAGAATTATTACGTAACAATTAAGGCAGCGATCTAGACACTGACTTCGAACAAATGACTTGTTTTGTCATAAAACGTAAACAAAATGCCAACTTATTGAGATTGTAAAAACGTAGTTATATATCCGCTTAAAGCTACGAGCAGGTGAAGTGGGACCCACATCACTGGTGGTTATCATAAAAAATTTTACATCTTCAAGTGAAATCTAGCACATGTCTAAGCTGAATTTGAAGGATGCATATAAAACCCACTTTCTGCTACCCAATGTTTGTATACGAAATATTTCGAACGAGGTCGAGATTTTGGTAAGAACAGATCGTCATGGCGACTGGTTGCGACGTTCTTAATATTTCAGCTACAAACCTGCACAAGTGTATTTCAAATTGCTGAAGCTATTTCTCAGTAGAGCGAGGGCTTAGCGCACTACCCTATTACATGAAACCCAACACCACGGGTCATGATCTAAAAAGACTAACAATAGCGACATGACAATCTATTTTGAACACAAACTGAAAATGGTTCCAACCAGAATGGGACTAAAGTGAAACTACCAAATCGAGTTTTTAAGTACTCGTGAATTAAGCTAATGGTATAATCCGTACTGGCGACTGCATTCTTTTAGAGCTTCAGAGAAGCCACTGCAAGCACTTATATCACTTTGAGACTGAGCGCATCGAATAAGTTCATCGACATGGTATTGACATGGAGATTGAGATTGATCCGAAGTTGAAGATATCTGGGCAGGCTGAGCAGGATTGCCACCCAATCCACCCGACAATGCTCCCGTAACAGCGTGACCAACAACTGAACCAATAGCTACACCCCCGGCTGTAGCTGCCATCTGTCCCATTAAACCTGGCTGTCGCGGTTGTGCTGGAGGCTGTGCAACAGCAGATGGAGGTGCACGAGCCGGCAAATTTGCACGTGGACGAGACGAAACTCTTGAAGGACTAGATCCTCTATAAAATTTAAAGACATCGTGTAAAAGACAATTGATAAGGTCACCTTCGAGGCATTGTGTTAAGATTTTTGAAGAACACGCTACTAGTTTTCCTACGACAAGGCCACTAGCAATTAAAACAAATATTTACACACATTAACCATTTAAAGTATGTGAAATTGGTCTTGTATGTTTACGAGATCCGCCAGTTTATGTTAGTTTTTCGACTGTATTTTCAACAAAATAACATTCAATAGTTGGATTCAGATTTGAGTTGTTAGGACAGAAGGCAGACGGCCCTCTAATACCAGATAAAAAAGCAGTTAACCGAAAAGTATTTTCATTTTATGCGGAACGATTTGGATCATCTGATACACTTAGGTAGCTCTCCAGAGCAAAAGTCAGATGTTGAGGCCGTTGTCATATCATGTTGTTTGCCTGTAAAATTTCAAGCCCATAGATTGTTTTTCAAATCTGTTTTTCAAAAATTTTAACAATAATTAACCCTGTTAATAAATTCTTTCGCATGATAAATCAACAAATATTGATTCAGATCCTGATATGTGTAGTAAGCGGAGAATACCTTGCCTTATGTTATTCGTTCTCTAGTAATCATGTGTGAATTTCTAGTCTTATCATGTATATGTCAATTGAAGTTGCGGACACCACTGTTTCGTGTAACATATCCTTAGAATCGATGTTTAGATGTGAAAATCCGTATGCTACTGGCATTCTGTTTGTAAATGGTCTGTTATGTCGCCTAAGATTTGCTGATCTAGTAAGAAGAGAGAGAAAGGATTGTAGCGGAAGATAAATCCCTAAAATAAATAGCTCTGTAAGTTTTCGACATTGGATGCTGACCATATGTTTTAGTGGACTCATCTAGCTGAAGGCGCTCGGTCAGGCATCCGCACCAGATCACGTGTGGTAACGCCGTGCTCAACATCAACCGCAATCGCTAGCCAGATTAGGTCAGAGAATTCCGATATATTGGTCATCGCCAAATATACTCTTCCGATCTCCTCGACTCTGTCTTTTGATTTCTCTGGGCGGGAACGAAATATATTAGAAGGTGTTACTGGTAGAAGCGTTGTCAAACACTGAATACCTGTGACATCATCATTGGTAAAACCGACGTGATCTGGTACACCTAATTGCAACTGTGAGTCTGTTCCTTTTTGGGATTTTTATATATCACTGCCTTATTTTTTTATTTTTTTAAACATTGTGATTTTTTTCGTGTTTTTTCCTGGATATATATATTTTCCCCTCGTTCATTATCGTACTTCATACTTCATCATGACTGAACAGACACCTAAAGTACTCAAGCTTAAGACTTTGTCCCCGCCTTCGTTTCAACTGATGCCTTTCTGGCCCGACAACATCGAAGCCCGGTTTTGCTACGCCGAAGCCGACTTCTCCGAGCACGGCGTGATCGACACACGTGCACAATTCCTCGCAGTAGTCAAGGCACTACCACAGGTACGTAACACCTAGTATGTTTACTAGTGATGTTTCCGATCCTTACGAAATCTTAAAACGCTCGATTCTTAAACGAGGAGACCTAACCGATCGACAAAGGTTAGATCAACTCTTCAACAATATCGACCTGCAACACGGTTCTGCGACGGACATGTTGCAACGGATGAGAGAGGTAATAGGCCCAAGAACTTTCGACGAAGGTCTATTCAAACAACTCTTCTTGTCAAAACTTCCCCAACAGGTGCAAGCAGTTCTGGTCTCGTTCCAGAACAACGCCTTAGACGAGCTAGCTGCATCTGCCGACCGCATTTTAGAAATTACGAAATCTACTACCGAGGTATTTTCAGTCAAAGAAAAACCTCAAACGACTCAGAATGATATAAACGACTTATGTCACACACTCACGCGTTATCTTAGTCTTCGTACCGACCGTAAGAGATCGCGCACACCACATAGAAGCATTTCTCGTAAGCGATCTGTCTCTAGACCACGAGAGACAGATAATCCCGACTGGTGCTGGTATCATAACCAGCATGGAACATTTTCCAGAAATTGCAGAAAATCCTGCAATTTTCCCAACACGAAACCGACTGATTCGAAAATCAATTTGGGAAACTTCCAAGCCGGCATGCGTTAACGGCAACCGTAGCTGGCGAACAAAGCCGTCTGTTATTCGTCACAGATGTGACAACGAGAGTTCGCTACCTCGTCGACACTGGCGCAGAAGTTAGCGTTCTCCCAGCAAATCCTAACGACCGACTTCACGAATCGACCCTAAATTTACAGGCGGCAAACGGAAAACCGATCGCTACGTATGGCAAAAGGTACGTTTACCTTAACGTGGGTTTACGCAAACCCATCCACTGGATTTTCGTTGTTGCAGATGTTTCTATGCCAATCATTGGTATGGACCTTCTACAACACCACAATCTGATCATCGACACGCGCAAACGGAGGCTAGTAGACGGAAACACTAATTTGTCCGTTTGCGTAACTTCTTTTACTGGTTGTAGAGTATCCCCAGTCACAGTTAAACATATGATAGACCCACTCTATCAACCACTACTCGATAAGTACCCTGGGATACAACAAACTCAACCGAAACTACCGTGTGTAACCAGCAATGTTACACATCACATCACGACTACAGGACCACCTGTATTCTCTAAAGCACGACGACTAGCTCCTGAAAAGCTAAGGTTAGCGAAAAACGAATTCGATCACATGATGGACTTGGGAATCATACGACCGTCAAGTAGCCCATATGCATCTCCGTTGCACATGGTCCCTAAAAAGGACAGCAACGATTGGCGTCCAACTGGTGACTATCGGCGATTGAACGCGAAAACCATTCCCGATCGTTACCCGTTGCCTCACATTCACGATTTGACAGCTACCTTGAAAGGTACAACTGTATTTTCGAAAATCGACTTGGTTAAAGCGTATAATCAAATCCCTATAGCTACTGACGACATACCGAAAACAGCTATCATAACTCCTTTCGAACTCTATGAATTTTTGCGAATGCCTTTCGGTCTAAGGAATGCTGCTCAAACATTCCAAAGATTCATAGACGACGTTTTTCGAGGTCTCAACTTCGTACACGCGTATGTTGACGACTGTCTAATCGCAAGTCCGGACAGAGAAACACATCTCGAACATCTGGATCTTGTTTTCGAACGACTTCAAAAACATGGCATAACTGTAAACGTTCAGAAATCCCAATTCGGAACCGACTCGTTAGACTTCCTAGGACACACTATCGATGCTCAAGGCATTCGACCTCTTAGGACCAAAGTGGCGGCCATTCTGGATTACCCAGAACCGACCACCGTCAAGCGATTACGCACGTTCAACGGCCTCGTAAGTTTCTATAGACGTTTCATACCCAAATTCGCATCACTTATGAAACCTCTGACCGACCAACTTCGTGGAAATGCGAAATCCATTAATTTGGACGACACCACACGAAAAGCATTCTCCACAGCTAAGGAACTGATTGCTAAAGCAACAATGCTCGCACATCAGGACACCCGAGCACCCATTAGCATCGCAGTAGACGCATCCGACTCGGCAATCGGAGGAGTCTTACAACAATGGGTTAACAACTCCTGGCAACCCTTGGCATTTTTCTCAAGAAGGTTGCTGGACACCGAATCGAGGTACAGCACATTCGGTAGGGAACTCCTAGCTATGTATTGTGCTGTACGGCATTTCCAACACTACATCGAAGGTCGTGAATTCACTCTTTTCACGGACCATAAACCGCTCACTTTCTCGTTAAGCTCTCCTCCTGACAAGTACTCTCCCCGTGAGTCTCGACAACTGGACTACATTTCGCAGTTTACTTCAGATATTCAACACATCTCTGGAGCAAACAATGTAGTTGCAGACGCTTTATCTCGTATAACTTCCTTGAACAGTTTCCAAGGAATCGACCTTCTTAAACTCGCCGAGCTTCAAAAAGAAGACAGTGATCTTCAGCACGAGTTATCGTCCACAACACTTAAACTACGCATCAAACAGATGGGAACAGGTAAGGAAACCTTACTTTGTGACACATCTACAGGTAGGATCGCCCAATCGTACCGAAACATTATAGACGCAATGTCTTCAACACATTGCACAAACTTTCGCATCCAGGTGTTCGTGCAACCATCAAGCTTATAGCAGAAAGGTTTTGCTGGCCTGGCATGAATAAAGACGTGAGGGAGTGGGCACGCTCCTGTGTAAGCTGGCAAAAATCTAAGGTTATCAGACACAATAAATGTCCCTTAGGCTCGCTTAAAACTCCCGATGCTCGTTTCGACCATGTTCATCTGGATTTGGTAGGACCTTTACCAGATTCAAATGGATACTATTATCTCTTAACCTGCGTAAACCGTTTCACTCGATGGCCAGAAGCAGTACATGTCAAGGACATCACTGCTGAAACAGTGGCTCGCACCTTCGTCGAACGATGGGTAGCAAACTTCGCCTGCCCTTCAACCATCACTACAGACCGCGGACGTCAGTTTGAATCCGATCTTTTCCGTCGTCTGACCACACTTTTAGGAATCACTCGCTTCCGAACGACCGTCTACCATCCACAAGCAAACGGGTTGGTAGAACTTTTTCACCGACAACTGAAAGCTTCGCTATCAGCTGCAAACGTTTCACAATGGACCGACGCTCTTCCACTCGTCTTACTAGGTATCCGCAATGCAGTGAAAGCTGACATTGGATACACTGCGTCTCAACTCGTTTATGGAACGACACTTCGACTTCCAGGAGAATTCGTGGATCCTTCATCCTCTTCAATGAACATGGATCTAACCTCCTACACGAACAGGCTTACAAACGCAATGCGTTCAGTTAAACCTGCTTCCACTCGACCTCAATCAACTGATGTTTTCGTTCAACCTGACTTACGATATAGTACACACGTTTTCATTCGTCGAGACTCGCATCGACGACCATTCGAATCAGCATACGAAGGACCCTTCAAAGTTCTTCAACGTGAATCTAAGTACTATATAGTCGATAAGAACGGAACCAACGATAGCATCAGTATCGATCGCTTAAAAGCAGCGTATTTAGAAGGAAATCCTATCT